TGATTGGAGCTGGAAAATGTCCTTCTTAGCAAAGTATCACAAGAATGGAAGAAAAAGTATCCAATGTACACAGCCCCATTATGAAACTAATTTATAGCTTTCATATGAAAGCTATAACCTAATTATACCCTAAGAATATGGGGAGGGCTACCCTCCCCATATTCTTATGGGGAGGGAGGTGGGTGGATAGGTGGAGGGTGATTGGCGAGATCACCTCTATGGTATATCTTTCAAGGATACAAGTGAATCTTTCTAAAAGTAGAATATAAACATCTTAACACAATAACTAAGAAAATGACATAAAGACTATGTTAACCAGTTTGATGAAAATATTTCAAATTGTATATGAAAACACCACACTGTACCCCATGATTGCATTAATATACACAGATAACACTTAATAAAAATAAAGTAAATAAAAATAAAAATAAAAAAAAGCCTTTCCCACACAAAGAAAAAAATATCTAATAACTTAAAAGTCATATTGTATAATTATAAAACTATAATTGTTGTTATTTCCTTCTGTTTCATATTATAACAAATTACAGCCAAGCATAGCTAGATATACAAATCTCTTAATTTCATTACCTGAAATTCAAAATTCAGAAAACTTACTTTTCCAAACTCTACTACTGCAGCTTTGAACCTCTTCAAAGGTTTGCTTCCCTTTTTATTCAAGATACTGTCTCTATATTTTAGTTTTTTTATTCCAAGTAGAGTTTCATTTCTCCTAATACAAAAAGATAATGTCAGTCAAAAGGAGCTCCAAAAATTTGCAAAACTCCTGCAAAAGTAATAAAACTTTAATGAATGTTGTCACTGAAATTAGGCAACAATATTCAAACCTGCTTGTGTCACATACATAAATTAGACAGCAATATCTCTAGTCATCAAGAAATAGCTGGCATCTCAAAAGAGCAAAATGTGAAACACACCACCGAATACAATGAGAAAAGAGAGTATTAAAGGCACGAGGTAGGTGGAAATAGAATTGGACTGAAAATAAAGTAACATGAACACATCCCTTTACAATTCAGAGAAAAACTACATAACAGTGACCTGAGATGAACTACCTTGCTTCCAATATATTTTGGTCTCTTTGGTTCCATATTGTGCAAGCTCTTAGCCGCTACTGCTGTCTGGATCAACAGGAGCTGAGCATTTAAGGTCCCTGCTAAACTTTTCCCCTTCTCCCAATCACCTGCACGGTTCCTAACCCTTCTTTCTTACAGACTCTAATGGATCGTAGTGGTAATCTGGCCTCTTTTTTGAACACTGTATGTCTCTCACTATTCCTCTATTGATATTACCTATTGTTCCTGAAATTTATATATTTTCTACAGTTTATATTTCTTTTTGTACTTACCTTCCAGGTATAACAAAATGCTTCTAGAACACAATAAATGAGATCTGAAAACTTAAATCAAATAAAATGTAAGGTTACATCAAAGCAAGGCTAACGAAATGACTGGGTCTGAATGGATGATTTCAAATAGGTAGTCTCAGGGTACATAATACTGTACAAGTGGCTATTTGCCTCTCACTTTAATTTTGATGACAATCCTGGATCCTGTGGTTGGTTGAGATGTCAGCTCAGCTGCAGCAATTCCAAGAATCTCCCAGTTAACTGACATTCATTCATTTGGCAAATGTTTTGCTACCTAAACTAGAGGGCTTTGCCAATGACCACCTTTGGGGACTTGGAGATCCATTTCAGTCACTTAGATCCTGAGATTGACTGCCTTTTATTTTCCAACCAGCTAGGTCTCCTTTCTATCTCCTCCCTCTCCCCTATCACCAGAATGCTTGACCTAGCTGCTATGTTTTTCCAGAAAGAGATAACAAGGAGAGAAATTTATGGATGTACACAGAGCCTACCATCTTTCCAACTTCGGCATTTTCCTCCATATGCTGCAGGACCTTTATCCACTAAGAAAGATCAAATAGATTAAACTCCTCCTCTCTTTGACCTCTTTACAGCTTTTTATTTTGTCTATGGGATGTATTAACAAATAGTATTGTTACTAAGCTTTCACTTTGTGGCTTATTCATTGTTTTGGTTACTTACATAGTTATGTGGCACTTAACAACAGAGATATGTTCTGAGAAATGTGTCGTTAGCTGACTTTGTTGATGTATGAACATCATGGAGGGTGCTCACATAAGCCAAGATGGTACAGCCTACTGCACATCTAGGCTACCTAGTATACAGTCTATTGCTCCTGGGCTAAAAACCTGCACAGCATGCTTGAATACACTAGGCAATTGCAACACACTGTGAGGTATTTGTGTATCTAACATATCCAAACATAGACAAGGTACAATAAAAACATGGTATTATAATCTTACAGAAACATAAGATTATAATTTATATGAGACCCTACCACCCCATGCAGCCCATCGTTGATTGCAGTGCTGTCATCTGGTGTATGACTATGTTAGTGCCTGTTCCTGGTGCAAGTGTTATCTCAACGTCTGTCTGCTAATTATTTTCCAAGCACAACTGTTATACTTTATCTGACAATACGTATCCCTCCTTTCGCTCTTCTTTATTTTTCAAATAATTTTTATTATTCTAGTCCACTCTATATGAACTAATCTTATTAGAATTTTTATTGGAATTGTACTTAACCAAGAAATTAATCTAAAGATAACAGAAATCTTTAAAGTGTTCTATCTGCTCATCAAGTAATGTACAATGTCTCTTCATTTATTCAAGCCTTTTTAAAAACATCTCTTAGTAAAGAGGTCTGGTCTTCATATTAGCTTTAAGGCCCCTTAAAATTCCTGATAAATTTAATACAGCACTGCATATAAATGGGTTCATTTTCCACTATACTCTCTCTTTGGTATAGGAAAGCTATTGATTTTGCATCTAACCATCCTATTGAATTCATTATTAGTTCTAATGTTTTTGGTTAATTATCTTTAGATTGTTACATTAAAAAAACTATTTGAAAATGTCAATCATTTTACCTCCATTTTCAGAGTACTTAATTGTGAAATCCATTTAAATATTTTTGTACTCATGTTCTGAAATAGCTTTATATAAAACAAAAAATTATTTGTTTCTTTAAAATATGAAATAAGTACACCTGAGCTACCCAAGTATTATTACTGCACTAATCAATA